CAGCTCTGTGGGGAGTGGTCTCGAGTGAGAACTCTCTTGGGTGTTGTTCCGTCCCCTTGCATCATCGGCCGCGTGCAGCCTGGCGGCTGAGCTCTCGCTGGAGCAGAAGGAAGCAGCCATGTGGAAGAGAGGCCTGCGCGGCGGCGTAGAACGGCAGTTCTTGCCAGGCGCCCTTCCCACTCGCGTTTTGGGAGGGGGTGGATAGTCAGCAAGGAGGCGTTTGGCGGCCCGGACTCTCGCCGTGTTCCCGCTTGGGTAGCGCAGTGGCCGGGACGGGGGTGAAGCTGCAGCGGAATGCGGGCGCTTCCCTGTAAAATACGGGAGGAAGGCGGCCCAGAGAACTCCCGTCCGAGGAAAAGGGAGACTCTATTCAGCTGCATGCAGGTCCCCACAGAGCGCCGGGAGAGCCCCGACCGGCCTTTGGAAGTGACAAGAGTGAGAGAGCTGAGAGGAAATCAATATATTTTTTACTCTTCGTTCTAACTGCATCGCCCCTCAGGTTCAAAATGGCGGCGCTTGGTGAGCGAGGCAGGGCTGAGCCGGCTGCCGTTCCTGCACTGTGGGGAAGGGGTCCCCCAGCTTTCCTCGATGGGAGCTGCGCCATCTTTGCACGGTGGGGCCATGAGCGTCCTCTCCAGGCCCTTTGTCGGCTTTTACTCCACGTGGCTGGATTTCTGCGTCTTGCTGTCTGTAGGGTCCTCTCTCCGGACAACATCTGCTTGTGGGACTGAAGAAACTCCCCTCCTTAAATGTCTCTGCTCCATGGTTTTGTTACAGCAGAGTCTGGCGCTGGCGGGTGGTCCTTTTCTCCTGTTGCAAAGCTGTCCCATGGGGGACTGGGAGGTTGCCCTTTATCCTGAGGGATCTCCAAGAACTTGAAGAAAACCTGCCTGGCTTTAGAGAGAGAGGAGTGGGCCTCCCGTTACAGACAAGGTGCGGACGCATTGGAGAGGGGCCAGCGGAGGGCGACAAACAATTCGGGGGCTGGAGCACACGACCCACGAGGAGAGGCTGAGGGATTGGGGCTTGTTGAGTCTGCAGAAGCGAAGAGCAAGGGGGGATTTGAGAGCAGCCTGCAACTCCCTGGAGGGGGGTTCCAAAGAGGATGGAGAGAGGCTGTTCTCGGGGGTGAGGTGCGGACGCATTGGAGAGGGGCCAGCGGAGGGCGACAAACAATTCGGGGGCTGGAGCACACGACCCACGAGGAGAGGCTGAGGGATTGGGGCTTGTTGAGTCTGCAGAAGCGAAGAGCAAGGGGGGATTTGAGAGCAGCCTGCAACTCCCTGGAGGGGGGTTCCAAAGAGGATGGAGAGAGGCTGTTCTCGGGGGTGGCAGGTGGCAGAACAAGGAGCAATGGGCTCAAGTTGCAGTGGGGGAGGTCTAGGTTGGATCTTAGAGCGCTGGGCTGGGTTCCCTAGGGAGGGGTGGAATCTCCATCCCTAGGGGTGTTTAAGTCCTGGCTTGAGAGAGCCCTGGCTGGGTGATGGAGTTGGGTTGGTCCTGCCTTGGGCAGGCGGTTGGACTCGATGCCTGCTGAGGTCTCTTCCCGCCCTGGGGTTCTCGGCCTCCCCACTGAACTGAATTCTCTGAAGGAGGGGAAGGGGGACAGGACGCAACCGCCCATCTGTGTCCTCGGTTCGCGACGTTCTAGTCTTGGAAGGGGAGGAAGATCAGCTGTTCAACTCCTGGGGGCGAGGGGCGATAGGGATGTAGAGTAGACTTCCCAGTCTGGGATTTGGCCAAGACTTAGGGCTACCTTTTGTGTGGAGGGGATCCCTTTGTGCCCAGGAGTGGCAGGGGGGACCTTTGGTCCAAGTGAAGTTAGAACTTCAGCTTCACATCACCCTCCCGTGCCAGGCTGGGGACCAGGTTCAAGTGCCGACTCAGAGAGGCTATCTACTGTCCCCACCCGGTCCTGCATCGCCTGGGGTGTCTCCTGTCCAATCGCTGACCCCGCTCAGCCTATTCGATCTGACCGGCTCGCAGCCTGAGCAGGGCCGGCTTTTTCCCCGGCTCCTCTAGTCTCCGGGCTTACTGTGTGTGTTCAGTCTGCAAATAATTTGCTTCTAAGCTAGAAACAGCCTGTAACGTTACAGGCTGCTCTTCTGAAATGCAGATCTAATAACTTGCATTTTGTAAGCTTCAGGGGGTAGCTGAGTTAGTCGGTAACTGGAAAAACAAATACACTGGGAAGGGCTGGAATTTAACTTCATTTGAAAGTTTGATTCCTATCCCAGAGGAATGACTAAACATATTAGCTGGCTGGCACACTCCCTTCTACATCCTAATGAATTAACCAACCAACCTAACAATGGGTACTTCTAGAGGTGCTAATTGTTCTTAACAGCTGCTTGTAACTTGAACAATTTAATTCACTACTTTTTTTTTTTCTTCTCCCCCCCCCCCTTTCTCCCCCCTTCCCTTATTTATTCTTGGATCTGGACTTTTAATACTCCTGTCAGCCGAAGAAGTGGGTTGTGGCCATGAAAGCTCATGATCCCATTTACATGTTTTCTTAGTCTTTAAGGTGCTGCTAGACTATGGGTTCCCAAACTGGGGGGCATGAAGAAATTCTGGGGAGGGGTGCGAGGAAATCCAGCCACCTCCCCCCCCATCTATCCCACCCCAAGTTTTGCTGCTTTTTTGGGGGGGAGGGGCGTGAGGGTTTCTCAAAGATCAAAAAGGGGGCGTGACGCCGAAAAGTTTGGGAACCACTGTGCGAGACTGTACGTTGTTTGGCTTTTTTATTTTGTAGCCACTTAGTGGAGCTTGGATGCCCCTGAAGAGCTTCTGTAATTCAAGTACGATGGGGATTTTTAGGAAACGTAGTAACCCTCCTGCTGGCTACTCCATTCTGTTTTGCACAGGGCTCAGACTTTACTCCGGGCTGTCCTGTTAGTTGAGACTGTGCCAAATTTGGGCAAACTTGCAAATGCATTCTTGGCTCTCTCTGGCTTTGTGGGTGTAAAAACGTGGAACCTGGCAAAGGAGGAGCCAACCAACCGTATACTTTGCACTGGAAATTGTGACCAGAGAGAGGAAGGCAGCTCCCTTCCCACTTTGCCAGTTACTGTCTCTGAAAATACCCCGGAGATATGAATGAGGCTCGGTGAGCATGCACAGCGTGCCTCTTGCCGCAGGGGCATGGTTGATCGGTGGCATGCAGCCTTTGGCCTGACTACTAGCCGTGGCGCCTAGAGACCAACTTCCATGTTTGCAGCACACCTAAGGGGGGGAGAGGCAATCCCCCCAAAACTTGACCAAGCCCCTGAAGCCACGCTGAGGGCCCAGAGCCGGACTTGGCAGTCCTTTAAATGCATCTTGGAAACTCATTCCAACGTTTCGTACGAATGTATCGGTGTCCTCCCTACCTCCACCCTCCTGGGTTCTAGACCTGGTTGAAATCAGGGTGCACACGCACACTTTGTTCCCTGGGTTCTTTGCTTTTGGCTCCAGTTGGTGCCCTGGGCGCTGGCTGCGGTGGAGACAGCCATGCAGCTGGCATGTTGGTGCGTGTCGTGCTGGTTGGAGCAAGCAGAGCGATGCTTCCAGCGTGGGGCGTGGGAAGGGCCGTTCACACTGGGTTCCAAGGTGCTCTGCTCAAGTTGGTGCCTGTTCCTTTTTTTCCCCTCTCTCCTCCTTTCGTTGTCTAATCAGAAGAGGCAGCATGTAGATTTCCAGCACTCCTAGCATCTGCATGCTCCAGCGTTAATGAGCCTCTGATGCAAACCTGCTCCCTGGATCCCCAGGAGCGCAGAGCTTCATCTGTAAACTCAAATGGCAAAGTTTTGTCCTGCGGATACCTGCGCCCCATTGACCAGGCGCATGGCTCTGGTGTGTGTGGTGCCTCCAGAGGGCCTGCTTTAAACCTCGCCCGTGTCTTGTCTTTCTAGGGGACGTTCTCTTCCAGATGGCAGAAGTTCACAGGCAGATCCAGAATCAGCTGGAAGAGATGGTAAGTACGGGACCGCTCGCAGTCACGTTTTCAAGTGGAGTCTGATGGGAAGTTCTTGGACCAGCAGCTTTTTCGGCCATTGCTTGGTCCTGAGCTGCGTTTCACTGTGGAAATGCCCCCACAGTACTGCAGAGAGGGACCTAGCTAGGAGGAGATGCCTGCTTAGTCAGCCCGGACTGAATCAGGCTAAATTATACAGGGAGGATCAAAAAAATACGAGGCCGTCTAGTAGGCACGTGGTGGTGTCTGGGCAAAAAGAACCAGCTAATCAACAAGTCTCCTTCAGTCTGGCCACATGGAACCTCGGATGCAGTGACCGGGGAACAAAGTGGGTGTCGGTTTCTTATCCAGACAGATTAACTTCATCTAAAACGTGGTGGTTTATCCCGCAAATGGACAGCCTGGCCGGTGCATGTGTTCATCTGCACATCTCTCCGACTGGGTCTCGCCGCATGACATCCATCTGTTTCTCTTGGCCCACTTCCTTCATCTAGCCAATCAAACACCTGTCTTTCCAGAGCCAACTGGCTGCCCTAATGTGCCTTTCTGTTGTCTGTCTGCTGTGTGTCTTGTTCCATCCCCTCGCTGGTGCCTGCGAACAGCCCCTTGTCCCTTCCTCTCGGAGCCGTCCGTCCTGGGCATCACACGCTCGTGTGCTCTGCTTTTGGATGCAAAGCTAGGTCGGTGTTTGCTTGACTCTCTCGGGTTTTTTTGTCTTCAAGCTGAAGTCTTTCCACAATGAGCTACTGACCCAACTGGAACAGAAGGTCGAACTGGACTCCAGGTACCTAAGTGTAAGTCGATCAGAACTCGTATTTTCATCCAGCAGGTGACTGTCGCATCCCTCCCAGCTCTTCCCTGGACATCCTCTGTCCTGCTGCCTTCCCCACCCATATTGCAAGCTACTCCTAGTCAATGGGGGGGAGAAAAGGGGCGCTAATGCCACCTTGACTCGGCAGGTTTGGGATCCATTTGCCTTCCTGTGACCCTAAGCGCAGTTGCGTGAATTCAGCCCTCACCACGTGGCAGACTTGAGCCTGCACGATTCGAGCCCAGGCGGTCTCAGCACTGCCCTCGCTGTCCTCCCCTGCCCCCGTGCCCATTGGCCCAGTGCAACGTAAGGCACGAACTGATGCTAATTCTGAATGCAGGGCCGGCCCAAGGGGGTGGAGCCTGGGGCAACCCCCTGTGCAGGCCCCACCTCCACCTTGCTCTTCCCCCTTCTGCTTCCCCCGAGCCATGTGGCCCAGATTACAGAGGGCCTGATGCAGGGCGGCAACAGGGGTCGGCCACCATGCCCCCCCCCCCAATCCCGCTGTGCCCCGATCTGCAGCGGCGGGATCGCAGGGCCCTGGGGCCTGGGCGCTTTGCATCTTGCTTCCGCCGCAAAGCCACACACAGCGACTGGGAGGGCAGAGCGGAGTGCAGGAGGCTGTCAGGCTGCTCCGGCTCCTGCTACCCACCTGGTGATTATGATGAGCAACCCCTGCTGCCACCCCGCACCAGGCCCCATAATCGCCCTGGGCTCCCGGCTCCGGAGAACGTGCTGTCTGATTTTTCACTGCTGCTAGCGGTGGTGTTGGGAGAGCAATAGCCCACTAGGAAACCCCGAACGAGCTGCTATTTCTGCTTCCTGGGAACCTGGTGTCCCCTTCCCCGAGGAGGATGGGGGCACAGTGGCCTCTAAACATGCGGGTGTTGTAAAGCATCAGGAGTGAGGCTGCAGAGCTCTTGGCTAGGAGGATGTAAACTCTGCTGGCGGGGGGCAGAAAGAGCCCAGCTGATCTGCTGAGCCATCACCTTTCTGCTGCTCACCGCTCCCCCCCCCGTGTTTGTATTCAGGCTGCACTGAAGAAATACCAGACGGAGCAAAGGAGCAAAGGGGATTCGCTAGAGAAGTGCCAGGCAGAGCTGAAAAAGCTTCGCAAGAAGAGCCAAGGGAGCAAAAACCCTCAGAAGTACTCGGACAAAGAGCTGCAGGTAAGACTCGTGGCTAGTCGTCGGCAGTCCGTCTCCTCCGGGGTCCCGAAATGGACCTTCCTGAGTACTCTTCTGGTTGCCAAGTCCATAGGAGCGTAGAAATGCGAGGCTGGGAGGGACGTCAAAGTCCTCTGATCCAGCTGCCTGTCTACCGAGTCGGGTAAACGTAGGCCAGACCAGACAGGTGTTTGTCCCCCTTGTCCCATGCCTGCTGACGGGGGTGGTGGCAGTGCCCAGCTCCTGGAGTGCAATGGGGAGGGAGGGAGGATGCACCGAGCTACAAGTAATGCGAAGGGCTGGGTTGTGTTTTCCTGAGGCCCCACCCCCTTCTGCCTGAGGCCCCACCCCCTCCTGGCTCAGGAGCATGGGGTGGCTCTACTCCCCTGTTTAAAAACCTCCAATGATATCAATTCCCTGACCTCGCTTGGAAGCCCACCCCAGAGTTTAGCTTTGTTTGATGGTTGAAAAGCTTTCCCTAATCGCGCCTCGTTCTCCCTTGCTGCAGAATAAGGCCATTTCTGCTTGCCCTACCTTCTAGGGAAATGGAGAGCAATTGATCGCTTGCCTCTTTCTAATGGCCTTTGACATATTTGAAGATTCTTTATAAAATCCAACCCTCCCCTGCGTCTTTTCTCAAGACTCTGCCTGACCAGGCTTTGGTGACCTTGCCTCGTAGGTCAGGTTTTCCAAAACTTTTGTTTCTCGCCTCTGGCTTGTCTCCGATTTGTGCATCTTTAAAGTGGTGCACCCAGAATTGGCCACAGGATCTAGCTGAGGCCTCTCCTCTGCCCAATGCAGCAGGACAGTCGCTCCCGTGTCTTACGAACGACGGTCCAGCTAATGCTCTGGGGTGTGTTCACTGTTCCCAGCTCCATCGCACTGTTGTCTCCTGTTCAACTTGTGGTCCACTCAGGGCTGGATTAAGCGGGGGGCTAGCCAGGCAGCTGTCTGGGGCACCAACCTATGGGGGGGGGCGCCTGATAGTGTGCACTGTGCTCCCGGGGCGGAGCTGTGCGTGCGTTGCATGCCTGCTGCCCGGGGTGCGGGAATGGCCCCCAGCCGGCTGCTCCATGTGGTCCCCCGTCCGCTTGGTTCCCCCTTCTTAGAGCTGGACGCCGCGTTGGCCTTTCTCTGCCCCGCTGGGACCTCGCCCATCCTCCGGAAGCTCTTCGATTGTTGCTAGGCAACTTATTCCAGCATTTAACCCCCCTGACCGTTAGGGTGTTTTTCCCGACGTCAGACCTCAACCTCCCTTTGCCCGAGGGGATCCGGTATCGGTTCTGCAGCTGGGTGAATTGGAGGGAGGCTTTGAGTGTGAGGCATGAACCTGTGTCCTTCAACTAGCCAGCCAACACACCAGTGAACTCTGTCTCCTGGCACTGAAGGAGATTGGCTTTTCTCCTATCAGGGAATGAACCAAGAAATACAATTTCGTCCTAGTGAATTTCCATTGTCAGATGCCTGCCTCTCCCCCTGGATCTCCTGCTGCTGAATATTTTTTCTGTTGCCTCCTGGCTCTCAATTCCGCTCCGTTTCTCTCTCCCCACTCCCTCGGTACGACAGCTTGCGCATGCCGGAGGCGTCTTTCGTTGGACCGCAACAAACTCCTCTAAATAGTGGCTTGTGAGTCAAGCGTACTTGAAAACTGCCTCCCGTTTTCTAATCAGATTTTGATTGTGCCCCCCTGAGACTGCTGCATTTGAATCCTTAGGCGGAGAGCGGACTCGCTGTCTCCCGAGGGCAGCCATGTGCAGCTGTTTGTCTTGGAGGGGCGGGTTTGGGTGTGATTTTTAAATAGGCACATTTCAAGAGGCAAAAGCTTCTGGATTTCTGGGCAGGGGAAACCGGAGAGACTAGTTCCTTTCGCTGTGTCCCAGGAGCGTTCCGAGACTGCTGACTGATGCAGAGCATCTGGAATTGCTCTGCTGGGTAGGTCCTACGCTGCAGTAACAGACCCGCGGCACGCCCCTGGCTGGTCCAGGTCAGCTGACTCCGGTTGGGCTGGGCGGGGTGGCAGGGGTAACATGGCAGGGTTTGAGCCGAGGCTGCAGCCGAAGCCCTAACATAGGGCTGGGCCAGATGCAGCCCATCTAACACTTCGATCCGGCCAGCGCATGGCAACTGGCTGCTTTCTATTTCTAGCCTGCTGCCTGGGCCGCCGAATTTCCAGGCAATGGCTCAGGCAGCCAGATCCTATTTAAATGGCTCCAGTTGCAACACTACCTCAGCAGGGACCAGAGCCGTGAACGCTTTAAATAGCTGCAGCAACCCCAGGTGTCAGCCAAGCAGGGCCAGGAACTGAGAGCCTTTTCGTTCAAAGCCTTCAGCCCCAGACGACTCTGGGGGAGGCTAGTCCTAGCTCTGCCCCTTCTAGGATGGAGCTGGCCCCTGACTACCTACCAAAATTCATTACGGGGACATCTACGCAGCAGGGCTGACATCGAATTTAGCTGCGTCAATTGCATCGCTGATGTCAAAATATCTTCACGCGGCTTTTGGTGCTGTCTACGCAGCAGGAAGTCGAAGGAAGAATGCGCTTCCTCCGACTTCCCTCCCTCCTTGTGAAATGAGGGTTGCAGGAGTCGGAGTAAGAAGTCCTCCAGCATGCTGTTATTTCGGAATAACGGCTCGTCACGTAGACGTGCACTGTTATTTCGGAATAACGTTATTCCGAAATAGTGCTGCTGTGTAGACGTACCCTAGGAGGACCCCCTATGAAAATCATTGCCCATCCCTTCCCTAATGCGAACGCTGCCATTTTCAACCCTGCTGCCTGAGTCAACTGACCCAGGCTCTGAGATGCCGTGCTATGGGTGTCTGTCTGGCACCCCCTGTTGACAGCAGTGCCCATGGAACCTGCGTCGTGGCACGAGGTGTACCGAGAGCGTGTGGCACTCGGCGGGTTGGTGACTGCGTTCCCCGCACGAGCGAGTCTCTCGTGGAAGTCCCTGACCTCAGAAACAAACCTCACCTGCAATGCGGCTGTGAGCACTGCATGTTGAAACAGGCAATTAATACACGGCGCTGCAAACTCCTCCTGGCCTCGAATGCTCTTTCTGCTTGTCTGTCTCCGTTAGTTCTAGCCCCAGCTGTGGAGTAAACACCACGTCCATGGCAAAATGTACCCACCGGCCAGATAACTTGCTAGCTCCTGTCTCTAACGCAAAACTTTCAGCGGCCTTGTTGCCCCTGGGACCAGCGTTAACCAAAGATTATTTGAATGAGGTCATAATTCCTAAATGTTGTCTTTTTTAGCTGAGCTGACCTAAGCATAGATGACAGCTTCTCAGCCTGGCTGGCTGGAAGTCCTCTGGGCCAAAAAGCAGATGTGCAGTGATCACCGGCTCATTAGAAGGAAGGTTACGGAGGAGAAACCACTTTTTGGTGTGTGTGTGTGTGTGTGTGTGTGTGTGTGTGTGTTTAAAAAAAAAAAATTGTACTAAAGCTCAGTGAGTTATTCCACTGGCAGCGTGGAGCAGAGCTCGCGGACGGGAAAAGTGAAAAGCATTTATTGGCATTCTCACCTCGAACTTCCAGAAAGATGCTCGTGGCTGTTTAAATTGCTGTGTGATCACGCGGACTAGTCTGTCGGTCCTAACTCTGTCCGGTGGCATCTGTTAGCCAGTGGAGTTTTTATAGTGGGGTGGGGGGTACTTGAACAACACCGACAGCCCTTGAAAGCCACTTCAAGCCAGCGTGGGGGGGCTGCTGCTCCCCCCAGCACCTTGAATTCTAGCCCAGTGCTTGTCTCCACCTGAAGTTGTTGGAGAGGATTTTAAAAGCGCATCTAAAATGGATGGGTACCGTCTAACGGGCAGAGAAGTCCTGTTGACTAGCTTATCCCGCTCGAAGACTCTGAGCACGTGACCTTTTAATCCAATGATCTTAAATCCCTCCTGAATGGCTGCTCCCTTGCAACATGTTTCTCTGAATTGCCAGCCGAAAGAGAAGGAATCGTAGAAGGGGCGGCGCGGCTTCTTTAAACGCAGGGACACACAAGGCGTCAAGACTGGCCAGCCCTCACGAATGTTGCCCAGCTGGTCAAAGACCACAAAATCCTGCCATAAGCGTTCGCCTCTTGTGAGTCATCCAGATGCCTACGGCCGGCCTTATTCTCCTATCTGCCGGGCTTCCCCCCCTAATCCATTTCCCCCCTCCTGCTCCTCTTCGCCAAGGTGCAGAGCGAGAGCGGGCGCCCACGCAAAGTTTAGGGATGTTAAAATGTGGCTAATGAAGTCACTGCTGAAAATTTCAGTGGTTACCCAGTGCGGGAGCAGAGGGGGCAGCTGGCTCCCCGGGAGCTGGTGTGTGCCAGGAGCTGGTTTTAAGCCGGCTCCCCATGCGTACCGGGAGCCTGTGGTGCAACTGTGAATATTAACCGATGGGCCCAGGCGTCTCGGTTAACTGTTTATACAGTTAAACTTTCACATCCCTCGCAGCAATGCGCTATCAACCGAGCCCTGCATGTTCTTGACACAAAATAGCAGAGATGCGGGTGAGTTCTATTAGCCCGGATTGTTTTGAACGAAGGCAAAGAAACACGATCAATCTTCCAGGCACTTAATCTTTCTACAGTTCGTGTTGAGGAGGCGCTTATCTCATTGCGGAAAGCCTTATGATGGGTTTTAAGCTTAAAAAGAACAGACACAACTGCTGGCTGGCTGGGTTTGGGGGATTTTTTTTCCCCCGGATTAAAATAAAAAGCTGGCATGGTTGAATTTGACCAAACGGTGCTGTTTCAGCTCTGAGCTGTGCTGCTTGGTGCATTGCACTTCCCTGTCTCCAAAGGGGAAAAAGCACAACATTTTGGGCCACTCTTAAAACTGTTTCTGCCTTTCCTTTGACGGCGGATTTGGAAGCCCGGCTTTTGGGCTGCGCTTATAAAACAGCGAAACCCCTTTGCTGCCCCCAGGAGGCCTGGACGGTCCTAGACATAAGTGGACTCTTGGTCAATGCTCCCTGGAAAACTTGGGACGAATGTTTGTTTTGAATCCAGCGAG